CTACACAGAGAAGCCATTGAAATACACAAACGTGGACAATTTCAACAGAAAGGAGGAAACCATGAAAATGAACAAAACCTGGCTACCAATATTAAAAAATTCTAAAATTGCAACAGCAAAAACAGCAGAGAGGAAACAGGCAGGGACATCTAATTACCTTTCAAGAAGAGTTTGCTCCGGGCACAGTCAGCCCATTGTATGCTAATCAAGGTGGTCAAGTGAAACATCCACACACCCAGCCCAAGTCCTTTGTCTCACCCTGGTCATTTCACAGATATATAAACCCCCTTTCCTAGTTCCAACAGACCTCACCTCTGAGGATGCTTGCCATAGATGCAGGCGAAACGTCAGGAGAAATGCCTCTAGAACATGGCCATATAGCCCGAAAAGACCCACAAGAACTTAGTTAACAGGTTAAAATCGTCAGTACATAACACAATATATAAACCTCACTTGGCTTGTTTTTTTCCAACAGATCCCACAACCTCTGAGGATGCCTGCCATAGATGTGGGCAAAATGTCAGGAGAGAATTGTGCTGGACCATTTATTTATTTATTTATTATTCGAACTTCTATGCGGCCACTCCCCCGGGGCTCGGAGCGGCTTACAAGAATGACTAAAATTTAACATAATTTAAAAACAATTTAAAACAGTTTAAAAACAGCAATATCAAAGATCAAAAGCCTGTCGAAACACATATGTCTTACATGCCCTGCAGAAAGCTGGTAAGTCCCGCAAGGCACGCACTTCAGGTGGCAGAGTATTCCAGAGTGATGGTGCCACTGCTGTGAAGGCTCTGCGTCTGGTTGCTGTTAGACGCAAGGTCTTGACACTGGGGACTTCCAATAGATCTTGGTCCTCAGAACAGAGGGATCTCTGGGGTTGGTAGGGGGTGAGGCGGTCCCTCAGGTACATCGGCCCCAGACCATGCAAGGCCTTAAAGGTGAGTACCATCACTTTGAAAGTGATCCGGTGCTCAATTGGTAACCAATGCAGGGGTTATGTGACATCTCATCGGAACTTCCGCAGGAAGCCGAGCAGCTGCATTTTGTACCAATTTGAGCTTCCAGATCACCGACAGAGGAAGGCCAATGTAGAGGGCGTTACAGTAGTCCACTCCTGAGATGACCGTGGCCTGGATCACCGTAGTTAGGTTGTCCCTGGACAGGGATGGGGCCAGCCGTCTAGCCTGCCGCAGGTGAAAGAAGGCGGTTCTGCTCACGGCGGAGACCTGGGCCTCCATCCTCAGCAGAGGGTCCAAAAGGACTCCCAGGCTCTTGACCAACGATGACGGGCGTAGCGCCTCGCCATCCAGGGTACGCAGATGGATGTCCCCACTGCTCGGTCAACCCAGCCATAGGATCTCCGTTTTTGCTGGATTCACCCTCAACCTGCTGGCACGCAGTCATCCAGTCACGGCCTCGAGGCACTGATGGAAACAATCGGGTACAGAGTCCGGTCAGCCTTCCATCTTCAGCACCAGCTGAGTGTCATCGGCATACTGGTAACACTCAAGCCCAAAACTGATATCGAGCTCTTTTTAGGGGGGGGTCTCTCCAGGGAGGAGAGCCCAAGGACCGCACCAAAGAGGGTCCTGGATACCTTGGTGAGATTGCTAGAAGCCAATCCAAGAGCGCAGAATATAATAAGGTCACCAGAGGCGGAAGAAGTCCAGCGATCGAGGCGTTTATTTGCGATTCAGCTGAAAAGGATGCATTACAGGAATCATTCCACTGTAAGCATGCAGTCCAAGAATTTTTAGGCATTTTTATACAGTCAGAACAAAGGAAAGCAATTTGAAAATCCCGCCCGCCCCCTATCGACCGGCTTCGCACTGATTGGCTGAGGCTGGAACAGCTGGGAGAAGGTTATCCCGCCCTCCCCCGTCAGGAGCCAAAACCTCGAACCAGCTGAGCAAGCGGTCGCATATAGATGTTAAACAACAGATGGGAGAGAATGGCCCCCTACATCTCAAAGACCAGGCCTCTCCTCTCCACTCGCTGTCCACGATTGTGAAGAAAGGAGGACAGCCAGTTTAAAGCTCACTCCAGCAACAGCAAGGCGGTGGGTCAAAAGATTGTGGTCGACTGTGTCAAATGCTGCTGTGAGATCCAATAACATAAGCAGCGCTGACCCGCCCTGGTCAAGCTGGCATCGAAGGTGATCCGTGATGGAGGCCAGCACAGTCTCTGTCCCGTGCCCCGCACGGAAGCCGGACTGGAAGAGATCTAGTCTGTCTGTGTCGTCTAGGAATTGCTGCAACTGCTCCGCTGCTGCCCTCTCAATCACCTTGCCCAGGAACGAGAGATTCGAAAACTGGGCGGTAACTGGAGGGAACCAAACAATCTAAATCTGGGAGAGACCATCACCTCTTTTAACGTGGTCAGACAGCCCAGAACACTCACAGCAAGCCAACGATTCCAGCCACGAAAGCCTTTGAAAACATATCTTTCAGGACTCATTAGGTTGGCTGCATTGCGTTTGTGTGTCATGTTTGTGTGTCAATAGCCATGTGGCTTTTGTTTGTATTTCAAAATGGCTTTGGATATTATTTTGAACTAGCTGAGGTGCCCTGCAATGCCCAGGTTAAATATCTCTGAAGGATAAGCACCTGAAGGACTCATTGTGTGCTTTCAATTTTATGAATGGACCTGTTAGAAAATGCATAGGAATGTGGTTGAACTACAACTCCTATTGTCCAGAGTCTTTCCTCCCCAGTATGTGGAGTTGGTCATGATGGGTCTGCGTGCTTGGTTGGGTCCAGATTGATCGTCGGTTGGGTTCACAGTGTTCTCTGGATGCAGGGTGAACTACAACTCCCAACATCTCCACTCAATTGCCCCCCATAGCTCTGCCAGTATTCGAAGTTGGTTGCAATGCGTTTGTGTGTCAAGTTTGGTCCAGACATATTGTGGTTTAGGTTCAAGTGGAGTCTCCTTCTCCAGAGGTCTGTGAAACAGGCTGCATGCCCATCTGTTGGGCAGGCTTGGACTGTGTATTTTTCCGCCTAGTAAAAGGGGTCAGACTAGATGGACTTTGAAGTCTGTTCCACATCTACTGTAGACTGATTGAGAGTCTGTAGATTCTTCTACTCTAGAGGTCTGTGAAACAGAGGCTGGACGGCCATTTATTGGGTTGGGTTGGATAATAAATAAATAATAATAATAATAATAATAATAATAATAATAATAATTGTGTGTCTTCCTGCCTAGCAGAAGAGGTCAGACTTGATGGCCTTTGAGGTCCCTCTTCAAACCTATTCTAGACTGCCTGGAGTCAGGTGGAGTCTTCTTTCTCTTAAGGTCTGTGAAACATAGGCTGAATGGATGCCAGCTGGCCAGACTTGGATTGTCTTCCCTGGCAGGAGGGGTCAGACTAGATGGCCTTTGCAGTAAATAAAATGGATGCAGATAAGGCTCCTGGCCCTGATGGATTTACAGCTGGATTTTATAAATCAATGAAGGAAACTATCTTACCAATGTTAAAAAAGGTCCTAAACGAGGCATTATTGAACCAAATAATCCCAGAATCTTGGAATCAAGCGGAGATCGTAATGATACATAAAGAAGGTTCAACCTCAGAGGATATTAAAAACTATAGACCTATTTCCCTATTAAATGTGGATTATAAAATATTTACGAATATTCTGGCGACAAGATTAAAAGAATTTTTGAAGGACTGGATAGGGGAGGACCAAACAGGGTTCCTCCCAGGAAGATACATGAAGGATAATATACGTACAGTTTTAGATCTAATAGAATATTTTGAAGGGAACCATCAGAAGGAAGCTGCCATCTTATCAATTGATGCAGAGAAAGCATTTGATAATTTAAATTGGGACTTCTTTAAAATATTGATTCAGGAATTGGACATGGGGATGAAATTTACAAATGCAATTAATGCCATTTATGATAGACAAAGGGCAAAAATCCGGATCAACAGCCAATTATCAGAAGAATTTATTATTACGAAAGGAACAAGACAAGGATGTCCGTTATCCCCATTGATTTTTATAATGGCTCTGGAACCACTGATGAGAAAAATAAGAGAGGACATAAATATTAAAGGAGCAAAAGTTGGTAAATATGAATATAAAATCAGAGCCTTCACGGACGATTTACTGGGAATTGTGGAAGACCCATTAAACAATCTCCAGGCCTGGATTGGGAGAATACAAGGATTTGGAAAAGTGGCAGGCTTCAAAATGAATAAAGGGAAAACTAAAATATTAACAAAGAATGTAGTAAAGGAAAGGCAAGAGAAAATAGTATCGGAAACAGGAATGGAAGTTGTCAAAAAATTAAAATATTTGGGAATTTGGTTAACAGCAAAGAATGGACAATTGGTGAAGAACAATTACGAAATGGTTTGGAATAAAATAAAGAAGGACCTTAAGAACTGGAAATTTTTGAAATTATCCTTACTAGGTAGAATATCATTAATTAAAATGAATGTTCTACCAAAATTATTGTTTTTATTTCAAAATATACCCGTAATCAGAAATCAAACTGCTTTTAAAAACTGGAATAAAGAATTAATGAAATTTGTTTGGGAGGGAAAAAGACCTAGAATTAAGTACCTAAATTTAATTGACAAAAAAACAAGAGGCGGACTGGGATTCCCAGATCTAAAAACATATCATGAAGTGAGTGTTCTCTTATGGATTAGAGATTGGACGACGCTAGAAAATGAAAAAGGTTTGAATTTAGAAGGCTATGATCTACGCGTAGGTTGGCATGCCTACATGTGGTATGATAGAGAAAAAAAGGGAAAAAAAATTGGAAATCACTTTGTGAGAGCATCCCTGTTGAGAGTCTGGATGAAATATAAGAAGTACTTTTATAATAAAACACCACTATGGGTTTCACCAATGGAGGCACATCAAAGAAGATTGTTAGGCTGGAGAGCGTGGCCAACATATAAAGACATTTTGATAAGGAATACAGCTGAGATCAAACCGTATCAACAATTAAAAGAAATAAATGGGAATATGACATGGTTACACTACCTGCAAATGAAAGAGTATATTAAACAAGACAATGAGATGGGGTTCGCCTGGGAGGAAACAATTTGGGATAAGATCTTGAAGGCAAAGAAAAAAGTAATCTCAGTTATTTATAATATACTTTTAACCTGGCTAACGGAACGTGAACAAGTTAAACCATGTATTCTAAAATGGGCAGAGAATATAAGAAGACCTATCCAATTCAGAGAATGGGAACAGATGTGGAACAAAAAGTTAAAATATGTGTATGCAACGGATTTAAAGGAAAATTGGACAAAAATGTTCCACAGATGGTATACTACACCTAAGAAACTATCTTTAATAAACAAAAATTCTACTGATAAATGCTGGAAAGGCTGCCAGCAGACAGGTACCTTTTATCATATGTGGTGGACATGTAAAGAAATAGGGAAGTACTGGTCTATGGTACATGAAGAAACACAAAAAATGTTGAAAACAATATTTAAAAAGAAACCAGAATATTATCTACTAGGCTTTACTGACTCAGAATTACAATTACAAGAAAATGAGGATAAACTGTTTACTTTTATAACGACGGCAGCGAGAATAACTTTGGCAAAGTTATGGAAACAGGATAATATCCCTACCATGGAAGAATGGTTAGGGAAAGTCAGAGAAATACGGGAGATGGACGAACTAACCTTTTTTTTGAAAAAAAATACCGGGAACCAGATAAAGAGGACAGATTGGACCATCTATGATAATTACGAGAAAGAAAAAAGAAAATAAGAGAACTATTTTAAAGAGGACGTAATGGAAATACTATAAATTTTTGAGGCACAACACCTAATGAGGAGATGGAAGTCAACTTTTTTTTATTCTATTTTTTTTGCGTGTTTTGTTTTTGTGTATTTTGTGTGTTTTATTTTTTTTCTTCTTTTTTCTTTATACATTTTTCTGCTATACCTTTCCTACTGTTCTATCCTCTTAAAAAATATTCACCCTCTTTCGCTGTAACTTTTAAATAACTCAATAAAAAAGACTAGATGGCCTTTGGGAAGGTCTCCCCTGCCCCCAGGTTTCTATGCTACTCCCATGTGTCCCTATTGCCTTTTCCTCCTGTCTTGGAGCCACTCATACTTCATGACGCCTTAGTAGCTGTTCAGGGGTGTTTCAGGGCTGCCAGTTTCGAAAAGCCCTACATCTCCCAGGGGAAAAGTACTTGGTACCTGGAGCTGCAGCTCATCCTGGCATCCTTCCCTAGTCGATCTGCTGGTGGTTGCTGCAGCTTCCATTGTGACACCTTCACCTGGCCTGCACCTGAAAGGAAGAGGAGGAACAACAGACGAGGAGGAGGGAAGAAGAGGAAGAGAAAGGGGATGAAGGGGGAAGGAAGAGGAGGACGAAGAGGAATAGGATGAAGAGGAGGAGGAGCAGGAAGAGGAGGAGAAAGGGGATGAAGGAGGAAGAGGAAAAGGGGGAGAAAGAAGAATAGGAGACGGAGGAAGAGGATGAGGAGGAAGAAGAGGATGAAAAGGAAGAGGAGGAGAAAGAGGGGGATGAATAGTAGGGAGAAAAGGAGGAAGAGGAAGGGGGAATAGGAGGAAGAAGAGGAGATAAAGGAGGAGAAAGAAGGAAGAGGAAGAAGAAGAGGAGGAGGGAGGAAAATGATGAAAAGGAGAGAGAAAGAGGAGAAAAGGGAATAAGATGACGACAAAAAGGAGGAGAAAGAGGTGGAATAGATCAGTTTGAAAGCGGTACTTCTCATGTTCAATGACAGGAGGAGTGTGCTGGACCTTCACCAGTTCCTGATCCCTTTGTTTGGCTTTCTCGCCCCTAGTTTTAGAGCAGTTACTGTTATTGGTAGTTTTTTTAAGGGTAGAGCTTAGGAAAACCCGTCCTGGCTTGTGTCTGCCATTTTGTTTGCCCTTTTGCCTGAGGAAAAGGGAGCCATTTTGTGTCAGTGCATTGGCCACGCCCCCTTTTGCCTGAGGAGCCCTTTGTGACAATTGGTTGGCCACGCCCCTTTTCTGAGGTAAAGCAGCCATTTTATAGCATACACCACCCGGGAATCCTTGAGACAGGACGCGTCTTCAATCGGTCCCAGAAATTCAAATTTGGACAAGCCATTTCTAATCAATTTAACATAGCCATTTTTGCTTACCATCAGTAACTACAGCCAGTAGCTTTAACTTAACCAGTTGTGCTTCAGCATCAACCAGCTACTAGAAGACAAATACTTCAATCTATTAGTTAAACAACTGGTTATCGCCTTGGGTTTTAGGTGTGTCAGAGGCCCCATATGCCAGAGACTGAGAGCAAGGAGAACTGACATTTCTACTCCTCAGGAAAATCCACGTCTGGCAGCTTCAGAATCATCAAGTTATCTTTCAAGTTGTCAATATTAACTTGGTTGTGGGGAAATCAAGTGCGTGCCTGGGTGGAGTGAGGCCCAAGTCCTGTTAAGAAATCCATACCTTTTCCTCAAAGCGACAGCGTGGACGTTAATTCTGTGGGGCTCCTTGTTCCTAAAGAAGGAGGGAGAGCATCTAAGGATAAAGGCCGAGATATAAGGGCTGAGGCAGATGCTGCCAAAGATAGTAAACCTTATTTACTTGTGTTTAATGTACTGTAGAATCTAATGCGTACCTCCATTGAAAAAACCCCTGAAACCAAAACAAACAAATAAACAAACAAGGGTTTCCTGCTGAGTGTAATGCACAACGGCCAAAGGTGCCCTTTTCTGTCACTGGGCCATCGCAGTCGCTTCTTGCTTAGAATCCCTTCTTTAAACACAAAAGTGTTAGACCATCAAAGCTTCCAGCGACCAATAGTAATAAATAATAATAATAACAATAATAACAATAACAACTTTATTCTTGTATCCCGCCATCACGTTCCCGAAGTACACAATATGTAAAAAGTAAAAAAAAATATTTTTTATATCTTAACATAGCTTATACATAAAATCATTGAGCATATTAACATTTCGCATAGAAATGTAAAATAACAATAATTTATTTATTATTTATTTATTTGCTTTACTTCTATACCGCCTTTCTCAGCCAGAATGGCGACTCAAGGCGGTTTACATAGTAAAGGTCAGCACAACAATATCAAAAAAGGCAATTAAAACACATTATACAAGACATACCAGAACAAAGCAATCATAATCATAATCATAATCATAGCGCCTCAGCAAACAAATCAAAATCAGAATCCGTAATCATAATCCTTATACCAATTCCTATGTTCGGTTGTATCATCTTCCTATATTCCATTGCACTATTTAGCCAAACGCTTGTTCATAAAGCCAAGTCTTAACCTTCCTCCGGAATGCCAGCAGTGGAGGGGCCTGTCTGATGTCCACAGGTAGGGCATTCCACAGCCGAGGGGCCACCACCGAGAAGGCCCTGTCCCTCGTCCCCGCCAAACGCACCTGTGATGCGGGCGGGACCGAGAGCAGGGCCTCCCCAGATGATCTTAATATCCTAGTCATAATAATCATGATAATGAAATGCTTCCCATCTAGTTTTGAACGTGTTATGCTTATAATTATATTACAATTTTCTATCTATTTAACTATATTCTGTTATTTATTTTATTATTTACTATATTTATACCCCGCCCTTCTCAGCCCGAAGGAGACTCAGAGCGGCTTACAAACTAATTCTAATTCTTCTTCTTCTTCTTCTTCTTCTTCTTCTTCTTCTTCTTCTTCTTCTTCCTACTACTACTACTACTACTACTACTTTATATCCCACACCCTTTTCTTGTACCACCTCCACTTGGACCAACTCATCTTTTTTTAAAAAGTATTTTTATTGTTTTATCATAGTTATTACATTTGTTATACATCTGTTTATAGCAGTTGCGTATTATTCAACACACTCTTTAACATATAGTCTTATTATTCTGCTTAAGCGTTTCCCCCCCCCTTTTTTTCCCACCACTGTGCTCCCCTCCCCCCATCTCAAGCCACAACTTTTACATATCATCTGTCCAAAATCTCATTTCTTCTTGTGGCAGTAACTTTCCTTCTTTATTTTTTAAACCATTTACAACAAATTTTCCCCATACAACATCAAAATCACTTTGTTTCCATATACCTTTTTAAACTTTTAATATACATGTAAGTTTATCATTTATTGCCAGTTTCCATGCTTCCTTGTACCACTCCTCTATTTGTATATTTATTTCTTTTTTCCGGTTCCTTGCTATGAGCCGTCTTGCTATTGTTAATACGTTTGCTATCGCTTCTTTATCCTCCTTTTTCAGTTGTTTATTATTATATAATGATAATAAAGCTATACTAGGACTTTTCTCAATTTTCATATTCATTATAACTTCTATTTCTCTAAATACTTTCTCCCAAAAATTATTTACATATTTACATTGCCACCACATATGTATATATGTTCCTGGTTCTTTACACCCTCTCCAACAATTTTTTGAATTATTTTTATTTATATATGCTATTCTTACTGGTGTCAGATACCACTTCCATATTAGCTTATAATAATAAATCATTGAGCATATTAACATTTCGCATAGAAATGTAAAATAACAATAATCATGATAACATGCTTCCCATCTAGTTTTGAACATGTTACGCTTATAATTGTATAACAATTTTCTTTTTAACTATATTCTGTTATTTATTGTATTATTTACTATATTTATACCCCGCTCTTCTCACCTCGAAGGGGACTCAGAGCTGCTTACAAACTTATTCTTATTCTTATTACTACTACTACTATTACTTTATATCCCACTTTATTTCTTGTACCACCTCCACTTGGACCAACTCATCTTTTAATTCCAAAATTTCATTGTTTCATTGAATGCGTGCCATTTTGTTTTTGGAAGCCGCCCTGAGTCCCTTTGGGGAGGGAAGGCGAGTTAAAAATAGTTTTATTATTATTAATTCTCTTCTTGTGATATCATCATCTTATATTGATAACAATGCTATTTCTGGTGTAATCTTAGCTCTGTTTTTTATTACTGCCCTTATTTCTTTAAATACTTTTAATATAAATTTACAGGGCCACCACATTTGAATGTATGAACCTACTCCCTGGCAACCTCTCCAACACTGCTTTGAATATTTATTGTCTCTCTGATTTACTCTAACGGGTTAAATACCACCTCTATATTATTTTATAATAATTTTCCTTAATTCTTATAGAAATATTTTTAATACACATGTTCCATATTCTTGTCCATTCTTGAAAATTAATTTTTTCCCCTAAATCTAGTTCCTATAGTAATAATAATAATAATAATAATAATAATAACAACAACAACAATAATAATAATAATTTATTTCTATCCCGCCTTATCTCCGAAAAGGGACTCAGGGTGGTGCACAACAAAGAATTGGTAAACTTTCAAAACATACAAAATAAAACACTTTATATAATAAACTATCAAATAAAAAACATTAAAATCTACTTATAAAAAACTCAAAATAGCACATGAGAAATTTAAAGATAGAGAGTAAAATCATTGGGACACATTTCTCTAGTTTAAAACACATTTAAAGCACATCATATAGTTAACAATAGGCCACCCGGACAAAGGCCAATCTTCTTCAGCTGAGTCACAATTTAAATAAAGTGCTAATCCCCCCCCCCCCCAAGTATGCTTAAGTACATAAGTTTTTAACAGATTCTTGAAGGAGAGAAGGGGCAGTTTTCAGTTTTTTAGGGATTTCCAGAGGTGGAGATCGATCACGGAGAAGGCCCCTTCTCTCATTCCCACCAGCCGTGCTTGAGACAGAGGTGGGACTGAGAGGAGGGCCTCCTCCGCTCAACGTTCTCTAAGATGGTCTTATTTCTGGTCATCTTCTAACAATAATTTATAAAGAACACTTATCGTTCCTCTTATTGGTTCATTTTCTTTATTCTCTCTTTGGGTTGCCATTCTCTCAAATTTTGTATGACCTCTACTTTTTTCTTATATCGGTTGACCATTTGCTCAATGGTGAACACTCATACCATTTATTTATTATTTATTTTGAGGTTTTATATACCGACCCTCTCACCTTCAAAGAGGGATTCAGACCGGTTCACAACATGTGTTAACATACAAAAATATACAATAACAACACAATGCAATCATTACACGATTAAAATATAAGCACCATAAACATTAAAACATTCTCATCACAGTTATAAGAGCCAAATCGTCCACACAATCACAATCCCAACTACCGTTCATCATCCTCCTTTCATGTGGGCAAAGAATTAAATCGGTTGTCAAATGCCACGTTCCACAACCAGGTCTTTGTTAATTTCCTGAACGTCATGAGGGAGGGGGCAGTTCTGATCTCTAATGGGAGGGAGTTCCAAAGCCGGGGAGCCACCATCGAGAAGGCCCTGCCCCTCGTCCCCACCAGCCATGATTGTGCAGGCGGTGGGACTGAGAGCAGGGCCTTGATGGTTCATAGGGGAGAATATGTTCGGAGAGGTAAACAGGGCCGGAGTCGTTAAATAAATAAATAAATAAATACCAGTCTATATCCCTTCCGGCTAATAAATCTTTAATTGTTTCTGTGTTTCTCATCTTTAAATCCCAGTCCCCTGTTTTCATTATCCTGCTTCTTTTAAACTCTTCCTCTCATTCTTTTTTAAAAAATTACTGGAATTTTTTCTATCATTAATGCTTGTGTGAAAGGGGAAATTCCTGGAATCAATTTTATTTTATATTTTCTCTACATTTCTGAAAGGTTTTTTAATTTATTATTTATTTATATTTATTTATTTTGACCATTTTTACCCCGCCCTTCTCAACCCCTAGGGCAGTGGTTCTCAACCTGGGGGCCCCAGATGTTTTTGGCATTCAACTCCCAGAAATCCTAACAGCTAGTAAACTGGCTGGAATTTCTGGGAGTTGTAGGCCAAAACACCTGGGGACCCCAGGATGAGAACCACTGCCCCAGGGGGACTCAGGGCGGCTTCCAATTGGCAACCATTTTTAAAAGGGCATTGCTCAACTCATTATGCCAATTCTTTTTATGTCTTACTTTATTGTCCAAAAAGAAAATACATTCCTATTTCCGTTCTAATTTTTTTTATCATCTTCTTCTAGCCACTCCAACTTTCCTTGCTTTACTTGGCTTTCTACTCAATACCTTATCTGACTGGCATAGTAGTATAGTTTCATATTTGGAAGACCCAAACTGCCTTCTTTTTGTGGTTTATACAATTTGCTTTTATTATCATTTTTTCTGGCTTTTTTTTATTTCTATTACAACACTAGCCTGACATAATTTGCCATTTTTAAAATTCTTGATCTGAGATTTTTATAGGTAGCATTCTGGATAAAATAATAATACTAATACACTTTATTTGTATTCTGCACTTCTCCCCTAAGGGACTCAGAGTGGATTATAGTATTTACATACATAGGCAAACATTCAATGCTTTTACCATAATTTACACTGAGACACACAAACACAATCTGGAACTGACAGACAGCAGCTCACCCCATCTCGCAGATTCAAACTGCTAACCTTTAGGTCACT